GTAATCAATAAGACCTTGTCTCTGGGCAGTGCTGTTTGATCGATAGGATGCAGTTTTCAAGCAACAAAGTTAGTAATGTGTAAGATTATGCAACTTGGGCGCCCATCACATTTTTCAGCGATGATATGAGATTGGCTTTGCCTCCAAAAGTGCATCCTATACATAATGTGTAATGTACTAATATCCTAGGGGGAGAGATAAGGAGAGAGAGAGAGATAGAGATAGAGATATCAATTTTCCTTTCGCACGACAGGTACTGTTGGTTGCCGCGTCTGCCCTCCTGGCGGAAGCCTACCCCCGCTTCGTGGCCGTCCCTAGCCGGATAGCAGCGCGTTCGTACCCAATGTACTACCCGCAGGAGTCGCGCTTGAGGCCCGTGGTGAGCCTCGTGGAAGACTCTCGGCCCGTGGTCATCATTGAGGAGGAGGAGCCCCAGCAGTGGGAACTGGACGAGGCCAGCTCTGACCGCTACGAGCGCCAGTCTGGCGGCTACGGCGGCGGCAACGACCACGTGGACTACGGCGCATACACCGGCGGCTACGGAGCCTTCGGTTGGTACTCGGATCACCCCGTGTGCATCAACTGTGGATCCCATCACTAAGGCTGGTCTGCCTCGTGGTTCCCCTGTGGTATAGTGTGCTCTGACCTCCGGCAGTGTGATGATCTGAGCCTAGTCCCACTCCATGCTAACGGCTATATTCATTTTCACATTCCACTAAAGTATAGATCCTCATGATCAGCCCCACCCCGCCCTCCCTATTGTAAGTAAAAACAAATGCTATTTAAAGCGAAAGATCCCATATCCCTCAACTCCAACCTGCTGTAAGTATTTTGTTAGTAGTGACCGGTCGTTGCCTCAGATCTCCACCACCATAGCTATTATATCTAGTCCTTGCCTTGTTGCAATTGTTAGTTCGCAATATTTGGCACTTTGTTCTTGTTTTTTTTTGTTTTGTAACAGCTGTTATTAAAGTATTCAGTTTTGTAAAAACTTGTTTGATTATTCCATATAAGTATGGAACACTTGGTTGCACTGGCAAAAGTCGAGCAACGTCACAACAGCTGGCTTTCCCTGCGCCTCGACTTCCAGAACATTCCTCTTCCCAAGCAGATATCCCATACTAAAAATAGCAGTCACTGTGGGTCACCTTGTAAGCTTAAATGATATCAGAGACAATGGTTTGAGCTGCTTTGATCTAATGTTTAAGCCCATTTTACTGTCCCTTTTTAATAGATATTGGAGCAGATCTATCCTACTGTTGTTGATAACTATCATTCGCAATCTTACTAGGAATCGCACAATTAAGTCGTTTAATATTTTAAAACTTCACTGTAGAACCATCCCCTATTCTCATAAAAGCTTTCAGTTCCCTGAGATTTCATTCCGTATTTTTATCACAAGTAGTCTGGCTACCATCAGTTTTGACATTTTAAGGCTCGTAGCACTAACTGCGCAAAGACAACGATCCTCCATTCCTGCCTATATGTGACTGCTTGCCCATACTTGGTTTGAAGGTTGTTTAGTTTGTCTATTTTTATTTCACTGAGGTCATGGTTTCAAGAAGTTTGATAATCAGTTGTGGTAATATTTAATAACATTGCATTACACCTCGTGCGTTGGAAAGCGAGCTTTAGATAAGTTATGATATCATCACAGATAAAAGTGAAAGAACAGGTAAACTACCTGCGAGCAACTAGTTTTTCATGGAATTGATACTTTTAGCGTTTGCTCATATTCAGACACTTCGACATCCACTACGGAGAGTTTTTTGGGTCTCCTGAATCAAGGTCTCTATAAGTAGGGTCTCTTTGGAGTTCTGTGCAACTTTGGGTGATAAACGTCATTTGGCGAGGCTGAGATCGGAGGGGGGGGGCAGATAGGAAGTAGTAGGCTGGGGGAAGGAAATATTGGAAAACGGTAGCAAACTGAGCAAACACGAAAGTAAATTTAGATGCTGGCTCATTCCAGCGTTTTGCACATTGGGCTGATTTTACAGGCGATAATTAACGTTTATTTTATAGGTATATGTCGATTTTACTTGGTTTCAATTTGATATTTTCTCATGCTGCAGCTTAGGTATGTTATAACAATGAAGTGAAATGAACAAAGAGGACATTGATTGATTGATTGATTGATAACGTTTATTTAGCCAATATACATAAAAACAGTTTGATATACACAAAATAACAATAGAATGGCTGAGCCTCCTGAGAACACAAGTTCTCTTAAGGTGCCTCACCTTATTATAAGGGAATTGATGTGTATTAAATTCTTAGATTCTGTCAATCCACTCGCAGGTGGATTGAAGACGATAACAGTAAAAGGTGAAAATATACAATATGCTATACATAACAAAAGACAGACTAGTAGATCGGACTAAGTTGTAACAAAAGAATAATTCTATTCATAAAAAAAACTAAATACTAAAATAATATATTGCACAAGATTATGTCTAAATACACATATACACATAACACAGGACAGACTAGTAGACTAGTAGATCGGACTAAGTTGTAATAAAAAAAATATTTAATTCATAAAAAAACACTAAAATAATATATTGCACAAGATTATATCTATATATACACACATACACACCTATATACATACCTACATACATAAACATACATACATATACAGTTTATATATATACACACACACACACATAAACATATATACCTATACACAAACATATGTATATACACATACATATACATAAATACATACATACATATACATATGAATATACTCATACACATATACATATATATACATGTACATACATACACACACAGTCACACACACATATATATATACACACACAAATATGCTTATATTAACCTTACATGCATTTGCATGTATTACATAGATACATTGTACACTTATGTAAACATTCGTACAGATGCATGAATACCCGCTGTTATGTACCTGTATATATACTTATTCCTAAACATTAGCATTCACTCTGACATATGTAATAGGTGGGTCTTCAACGATTTTTTGAGTGACAGCAGTGACGGAGCATTGTGGAGATGTGAGGGCAGATCATTCCATACACTTACCCCATGATATAAAATACATGTTTTGGATTGGTTTGAGCCTATAGTTGGGTGTTTTAATAGTGAGTTTGATCGGAGAGGATATCTTAAATCATTTCTGAACCGAAATAAGTTATTTTCGTATATATTGATACATTTAAAAATGAAGAGAGCACAGAAGTAGGTATTTATATCTCTCAGCTTCAATAGTTTCAGTGTAGAAAATGCCTCATTGGTATGGTCATATTTGCCTAATCCAGCAATGGTTCGGATTACTCGTTTTTGGGCAGTTATAACGGGTTTTAGCGTTGTTTCATTGACAGCTCCCCAGACAGTATTGCAGTATGTTAGATGTGGATAGATTAACGAAAAATATATGCATTTACGGGCATTCATTGTGAGAAAATCACGAGTATGGTACAAGATACCACACTGTTTATTAATTTTTTGACGAATACTGTTCGGATGACTATTCCACGATAATTTATCATCAATGATTACTCCGAGAAATTTAGTTTCGGTTTTCCTTGACAAGGATTTATGTTCTAATATTAACGGCAGAAGTGTAGAGGGAAGTTTCTTATTGCGATTAAATATGACATAATGGGATTTAACAATGTTTAGCGTTAGTTTGTTTGAAGAAATCCAATTACTGATAGTGCTGAGTTCTCTATTGATGTTACTAATGAGTTGATTAATATCTTTACCTGAAACATAGAGGTTACTGTCATCAGCATATACGATGAATTCCAGATACGAGGATGTTTTCACCAAATCATTGATGTAGATCAGGAAAAGAAGAGGCCCTAACAGTGACCCTTGTGGTACACCATGAGATAATGGAAGGCAATCTGAATCGGATCCATTATATGAAACAAATTGATTTCTGTTAGATAGATATGAGCGAAACAAGCGGTTCGCAGAGCCCCTGATACCATAATGAGATAGTTTTGAGAGCAGAATTGGGTGGTTAACCGTATCAAAAGCCTTAGATAAATCTAGGCATACAGCAACAGTGAATTCATTATTATCAAAGGCCTTGTATATATGGTTTGTAAATGACATAACAGCCATTTCTGTTGATTTATTCCTCGTAAATCCAAATTGGCAATCTGACAGAATACTGTTGCTTATGAGATAACTTTCCAATCTGATATAGATTATTTTTTCCAGAATTTTACTTATTACGGGCAGAACTGATACTGGTCTGTAGTTATAAACATTGGTTTTGCAACCTGATTTGTGAACAGGAGTAACCTTTGCTGTCTTGAGTTTGTCTGGGTATATACCCGTAGTAAGTGAAGTGTTGCACAAGTGGAGCAGGGGACGGGAAATGACAGGCAAAGTGGATTTAATTATTGGCGCTGTGATGCCATCATAACCGGGGGCAGAGTTGTTCAGTTGATTTACTACTTCAGAGAGTTCGGATTCGGTTACGGGATTTAAAGATAGATTTGTTTTGTGCGAAGGCCCCATGAAATTCATGAAACTATAGAATGGATGGGGGACATTGTTAATTAAGTTATTTGCAACATTAACGAAATAATTATTGATATAGTGAGGAATTTGAGTAGAATCTCGAGACTGACCTTCCTCTACTTCTATCGTTTGATTCTGTTGAGAATTGAATTGATGATCTTCCATGTGTTCCTGCTGTTATTTGAGTTAGCCTTTAATTTCTCTGTATAGTATTTGCTGCGGGCAGAGCGAATCACTTTGGTGAGATGATTACGTGCGCGTCTGAACTGATCTCCATATGTAATAGGCCGTTTTGCAAATAGGCGCTGGAGCCTGTTCTCCTCAGTTATAAGAGCCTTTATTGCTGGAGTTATGTAGGGTTTATCATGTGATTTTGGTTTGAGTAACTTAGATTTTACAGGAAAATACTTATCATACCCTGCTGCAAAAATGGTGATAAAGTTATCGTAAACTATATTAGGGTCATTTGAACACAAAACTAA